TCTTTCTTTCTTTCTTTCTTTCTTTCTTTCTTTCTTTCTTTCTTTCTCTTTCTCTCTCTCTCTCTCTCTCTCTCTCTCTCTCTCTTTTTCTTTCTTTCTCCCTCTCTCTCTCATCTCTTTCTCTTTCTTCCTCATCTCTCTTTCCCTTTCTCCCTCTCTCTGTTTCTCATTTCTTTCTCTCTCTCATCTACAACTGCTAAGATTGGAAGCTGTTTTTTTTTTATAATCCTATTTCTTTGCAGTTTTTTCACACACATTTGTGCATATGTATCCAATACTCTTTCTTTCTTTCCGCTATGTATTCAAAATGGGCAATGATTTTATGTATGTGTGTAGCATGTGTATATGTGTGTTATGTATGTGTATGGATATGTATATATATTTCACTTTTAATGCATGCCAGTGTACTTACAGTAAAATACAATAAAAGTTACCTTATTCTATCTCCCTTCCTTCTTTCCTTCCCAACCCCATTCCTCCCACACCCTATTTTGTGTTGACTTCCCAGCCAAGTACTTACCAGGTCTGAACCTGTTTAGCTTTCTAAAATCAGCCTACTGAAATAAATACCAAACTAAACTGCCCAGTGATTTCAATGCAAACAGCCAATCTGCAGTATTACTACATTTTGCTAGGCATCTGCTGCATGTTACTCTCTTCCTTGATAATCTAGTCCAGAGGTCCCCAAACTTGGCCACTTTAAGACTTGTGGACTTCAACTCCCAAAATTGTCTAGCCAGCAAGTTTGGGGACCCCTGATCTAGTCTTAGCTGGGCAAAACAGTCTGGAGTCACTGGCAAGAGCAGCTCAGCATGGAGAAAAGTTGTGCGTCCTCCCATATTCCTTTCTCTGTGAGCAGCCTTGTCCCCCCGCCTTCATTTGTGAAGCGCACTAAGTTTAAAGGTGTTGTGGCAAGAGGAATATGGGGAGACGCGCAACTTGTCTCCGTACCAAGAGGGCTGCTCTCTCTCTCTCGCCTCCACTCTTGGCACAGAAAACAGTCAGTGGGAGCAGCAGTTGAGGCGGTCGGTCACCCGTCCCGGGGCTCACTCTCACCATACCTGCAGGGGGTGGGGGATGCAGCAGCAGCGAGGCGGCAATGGCAATTCTGGAGGCATCGGGGATTCCAGGACCAGTTCGTTCCTCCCCGCCATCCATGCGGCTGCATACTTGATGCATCGGGGCTTTTAGGCTTAGCTCCCCGCAGTCGCCGTCAGCTGTCCCGGACTCAATCAAGGGGCGCCTTGCTGACACGAGCTCTCCACGTGTTCTTTTCTGCTGCTGTTTTTGGAAGAGCAAGAGTTTCCCAAAATAACAGAAAGCTTCTGAATCTCCCCCATCAGAAACGGCTCCCGGGTAAGCAGAGAGTAGCAGGATTCAACCTGGCTTGCTTCTCTGTTTGCCTGGGAGCTGTTTCTAATGGGGAGGGGACTTGGAAGCTTTCTGCTATGCTGGGAAACTCTTGTCTCCTATCAACAGCAGCAGGAAGGAACACATGGAGGCTCCAGCCAGGTTAGCAGTTCCTTTTATCACCTGCTGCTGTTTTTGGGAGAGCAAGAGTTTCCCAAAACAGCGGAAAGCTTCTGAATCCCCCCCATTGGAAATGGCTCCCGGGCAAGCAGAGAGTAGCAGGATTCAACCTGGCTTGCTTCTCTGCTTGCATGGGAGCCGTTTCTAATGGGAGTGGGACTTCGAAGCTTTCCGCTGTGCAGCAGCAGTTGAGAGAAGCAGCCGCTGACCTGGCCGGATCCTATACGAGCCTCTCCACATGTTCCTTGGCAGAAGGCAAGTGGTGAGGGAAAGGCGACCAGCAGCAGCAGCAAAAGGCAAGTGGGGGGGAAGGCGACCGGAGGCGGCAGCAAAAGGTAAGTGAGGGGAAGGCAACCGGGGCTTGCAGAGCCTCACTCACCCAGGGAGATCAGTAAAGGTAGGGCTGCAATGGAAGGCAGGCAGCAATGGCTGGCCTGGTGGGTGCACAAGAGCAGGCTGCAGACAGCAGTGTTGTGCATGCGTGCAATGTCACTCATGCGTGATAAGGACTGACGGGCAGGCAGTGGAGAAGTGGGCGGAGAGGGGCGGGGCCAGCCAGAGGCCTGATTTACCAGTTCTCCAAACTACCGGGAACGGTAACAACTGATTCTATAGAGCCGGGCCGAATCAGTGGAATCCCACCCCTGGATGAATCCATGAAGTTAACTTAAATTCCTGGTTTAAGTTCATGGATGGAACTTAAACAAGGAGTCAAGCTTGCCTTGAAAGACGCTATCTTTTCCCTTTATTCAAATACACTCAATCCTTGTTATTTGTGGGGTTTGTTCTTGAAAAATCCCACAGAAATGGAAACCACAGTTATTGAAGCATTGGTCCTATGGGAAAAATGGGATTCAGTATATTTTATTTAAAAGAGTAATCTTTCTTTATAAAACAAACCAATTTCATCCGCATTACAAACTTGCTCAAATGGGTACCCTTTGTTTCTGGTGTTTTTCAGAAGTTTTACAAATTCTTCAGCAGCTTCCATTATTTGCTAGACCAACCTCACCTGAAAGTTTCACATTTTTCAAACCATACCTGTTTATAAAATGCTCTAACCAACTAATGCTCTCACGGATGACTTCCTGATTTTCAATCAAATATTTGAATAGGGTTGTTTTTATTTTGTTGTTCACAAGACATCCCTTGCAGCCAACAATTTCATTTATCCATAAATTAGGCCACTTTTCTGTTTCTTCCATATTTCTTTACAAAATCACAGAAGTCACTTTAGCACTTTCTGGAGCAGCTTTGCAAATAACCTTATGAACGTAAGTCTTCCTTTTGGCATATGGCAGATGGTTGATTCATTTACATTGAATTTTCTGTCTATGGATGCTACAGAGTTTCCAGAACAAAGCAAATCAAACACTACAATTTTATTCATTAGGTTCATTATGGAGTGTTTGCACTTGTTGAAACAGTGTCATTAGCGCTTTGCTTGGATGACATTGTTGAAATTTTAAAGCATAAGATAGTGTGAACACAAGAACTATTATCAAAATGACACAGAGAATAAAATAAGAATATGGTTTCCTTTTGTGTAATTTTTGTCACTTGTGTCATTGCTACACAATAAGATTCCATTGTGCATGGCCATATATAGCTGCATTAAGACCATGTTTGAAAAAAATGGGTTACACTTCCATATATAATTGAATCTACAGGAACAGATTGTATGGGGAGTGAGTGTATACAGGTAGTAATCAATTAATGGTAATTGGGACCAGAATTTGTTATTAAGCAATGTAGTTGTAAAGCACAGTATCACATGATCACATTGTTTAGCAACATCAATCTCAGGGATTCTGGTGGCTGCCATTAACCAAATCCCACCTGGTTATTAGGCACCCTGATCCAAGTAATTCCTGGCTTGCTGTCTTGGGGAGCCCTGAGTCTCGGTAAGGTAAGGAGCTGCTTCCTCTTCAGCTCTTTTCACTTACTTATCTCTGCCTGCATTCTGTCACCTCTACCAAATCTGCTATCCAGCGCTCAGCCAGCCCAGCAACCTCAGCTGACCTTTGCTGTCACCTTCCTTCCACTGTTGATAAAGTGTGTCTGAAATGGCTTGTGAGGCAGCTGACTTGCAAATGTTGGGCAAGGCATACAGAGGACATCCAGCAGAGTGTAGGATGGCCCAAAACCCAGATATGGGGGGAGAAAGTAGAGGTGTCTGGGCCAGAGGAGGAAGGACAGCCAAAAATGGCTGTGGTTTATAGAGTCAGCATATTGCCCCC